AAAAATTCAGAGAAGGACGGATCCAAAAATCAAGCAAATGTGGTAGAAACCACGGAGGATGACGAGGCCGTAGCAACAGTGATTACTGAGATTAACATGGTCGGAGACCCAGACGAGTGGGTCGTGGACACGGGGGCATCTCGTCACTTCTGCAACAACAAGTCCTTTTTCAAGGTGTTCGAGCCCGTCACTGGAGGAGAACAAGTCTTCATGGGCAACTCCAGCATTTCTGAGGTAAGTGGTAGACGAAAAGTAGAGTTATTGCTTAATTCTGGCAAGAAGTTATTACTGAACAATGTGTTGTATGTTCCCTCTCTGCATAGAAACTTAATTTCCGGGGGCCTACTTAATAAGGCCGGGATCAAAATTTTCCTTGAGTCAGACCGATTGGTTATGACTCGGTGTGGGACTTTTCTCGGAAAAGGGTATCTACGGGGGGATTATTTGTGTTAGACATATCTGTAATTGGACCAGAATCTATCAATAAGAATAATGCTTCCCCTTCGACTTATATTACTGTTTCAATTAATTTGTGGCATGGTAGATTAGGACATGTTGGCTCAAAGTTCTTAAATAGATTAAAAAGCCTGAATATGTTGCCAAACTTGTCTAATGATGCATGCTCCCAATGTGAAACTTGTGCTGAAGCAAAATTTGCTAGGAAACCATTTTCTGCGGTAACTCATAGAACTTCATCTATACTTGAATTGATTTACTCTGATCTAGCGGATTTTAAAACCACTGAAAGTAAAGGTGGAAAACGGTATTATATAACTTTTATAGATGACTATTCTCGTTTTACAAAACTATACCTCTTGAGAACAAAAGATGAAGCTGAACACAAACTTGTGATTTTTAAAACTGAGGTAGAAAATCAGTTAAACTTGAAAATAAAGAGGCTTCGTTCTGACAGAGGTGGAGAGTATGAATCTTTATCGCTAAAAACCTTATGTGAAACTTCGGGTATAATCCATGAAGTAACTGCACCTTACTCTCCCCAACAAAATGGCATCGCTGAAAGGAAAAAATAAAACCCTTAAAGACATGATTAACGCAATGTTGATCAGTTCTGGGGCACCAGACTCTATGTGGGGGAAGCTGTTCTAACGGTGAACCACATTTTAAATAGAGTCCCACATAAAGGGTTCGAGAAAACCCCTTATGAGATGTGGAAACGGCACGCCCCGAACCTGAAACACTTTAAGGTGTGGGGATTCTTGGCTAAGGTGGGTCTACCATCCCTGAAAAGGTCCAACATAGGACCCAAAACCTTTGATGCTATTTTTGTTGGATATGTCGAGAATAGTGCAACATATAGGTTTATGTGTCTAGAAAACCGTTCTATGTGTGAATCAAGAAATGCAATATTCTTTGAACATATCTTTCCTTTAAAAAATGCTTATGTCTCACTAGTTGATACTCTATGTCAAAATGATAATGCCAATTTTCCTCGCATTACTAATGATTTGGATGAGCCCAGAAGAAGCAAAAGACCCAGGATAGAGAAGAATTTTGGTTCTGACTTCATAACATATGTCACAGAACTAAAAGATTTAAACGAACTGTGTGATCAGTTTGTGTGTCAATTAGTATTGGAAGAAGAACCAAAAACGTTTAAAGAAGCAATGCAGTCAGTCGACTCCATTCTGTGGAAAGAAGCAATCAAAAGTGAATTGGACTCTATTCAGTCCAATCACACTTGTAGTTGGTAGAACTACCCAAAGGGTGCAAGCCAATTGGTTGTAAATGGATCTTCAAAAGAAAACTTAGACCAGATGGGTCTATTGAAAGGTTCAAAGCCAGGCTAGTAGCCAAAGGCTTTACGCAGAGATTCGATGAGGATTATTTTTACACATACTCACCAGTGACAAAAGTGGGAACCATTCGAGTTCTATTTGCATTGGCTTCTTTACACAACTGGATAGTTCATCAAATGGACGTAAAAACTGCATTCCTCAATGGTGAATTAGAAGAAGAGATCTACATGGAACAACCACCTGGTTGTGTTGATCTAGGGCAAGAAGGAAAGGTATGTAAATTAAAAAGATCTCTTTATGGCCTAAAACAGGCCCCCAAGCAGTGGAATGAAAAATTTCACAAGACCTTAATAGACCTAGGCTACACGACTAACCGGTCAGATGCCTGTTTGTACTCAAAGGAGGTCCAATCCAGCATTGTAATAATATGTCTCTATGTGGATGACATGTTGATTTTTAGCTCAAGTATTGAGGCTATAAATGAAACCAAACGAACTCTATGTCAACAGTTTGAAATGAAGGATCTAGGAGAAGCCGATGTGATACTCAGGATAAAAGTCACAAAAACCAATACAGGTTACCTTCTATCCCAAGGTCACTACACAGAAAAACTTCTGAAGAAGTTTGACAGTTATGATGTTGTTCCGGCTAAGACTCCTTACGATCTTAGTGTCAAACTACTGAAGAACATGGAGTCAGGTACGTTTCAAGAAAAATATGCAAAAGTAATTGGGAGTCTAATGTTCTTGATGAACTATACACGTCCCGACATTGCATTTGCCGTGAATAAACTTAGTCGTTTCACTCATAACCCTGGTGGCCCTCACTGGGACGCACTAAAAAGGATACTCCGGTATCTAAGAGGCACGTTAGACTGGGGTCTCAACTTCAAAGGATACCCAGCTGTGCTAGAAGGGTTCTGTGATGCGAACTGGGTAAACGATAGTGATGATGTCAGCTCCACAAGTGGATATGTGTTCACACTATGTGGGGCTGCTGTGTCTGGGAAATCAACCAAACAATCGTGCATAGCCAGATCAACTATGGAAGCAGAGTTCATAGCTTTAGATCTGGCTAGCCAAGAGGCCGAATGGCTAAGAAATCTGTTGGCAGACGTGCCGCTGTGGGGGAGTCCTGCTCCCGCCGTACCCATTCATTGTGATTCTCAAACTGATATTTGTGTGGCACAAAATAGTGTCTACAATGGAAAGAGAAGACACATTAGAGTCAGACATGAGTCTGTACGGCAGTTAATATTGAATGGGGTAATCACAATGGAGTTTGTGAGATCTGAAAGGAATATAGTTGATCCTTTCACGAAAGGCCTGAATCGAAAGGCTATCCTTGATACGGCCTGAATGGACACCACCTCGGTGGTCAAACGAAATCATGGAAAGACTCGCATTTATAAGCAGACTGTAAATCAGTCCGCTCACCGTAGTCCACATTTGGCAACGGTGGTGTACACTCGGTGGAGTGGAATGTCTGTGCTGAGACAGACAAAACAGGGCTAATACTTGGTTATCCAATAACTATACAAAGTGTACAACAAATAGAGCTAACGAGGTGCACATAAGTTCAAAATTCAACTAGCCGAAGAGTTCAAGATTATGTTCACTCAGCTCTCGGATAGTGGATTACTTAGTGCCACCACTTGTCAATTCAAGTTTAACACACTGACATGAAAGCTAGCTCTTGTTTGTTACGCTCAGTTGCTCTCCTTCAAGCCTTACACCTTCGAATGTGTGGGGGATTGCTGGGAAACATTCAAAGCTAAGATGTGTGTGGCCACATGTGCTGTCAGCATTGCATACTGCTTCACCTCTTACTACCTATTCTCATGCTGCCTGGCCACACATAGCCTACAATTACGGTAAGGTTGTAAGAAGGGATGGTAGCAGTATAAAAGCAATCATCCTACAGTGTCACAATACACCGAAATTACTATTTCTACTTCCCCAAAATTCTTGTTAAGCTGAGTTCTATACATCTGTGCTATCGGTCGAAGATATAACGATACCCTGGTCGTTAAATATCTTTAAGATAGTGTTATTATAACACGACACAGAACGCTACCGGTTTTGTACTAAAGCAACGACACATCGCGTACTTCTTTCCAGGTATTTATTTTTGTTGTTACGCACAACAAACAATACCGATGGCCAGGACCGAGAGCCGGAAAAGAAACAGGATCCGAGGTATGAGGATCAGATGAGACAAAAAGTTTTTGAAACATCGTTTTGTCCAACGGACAACTTGCATGTTGGAAAGAAGCAGGTTGAATCATACATTTTTTACTCCTCCATAAGCATTAATGAACAACCGGCGATGGCAGTGGCAACACCAAGAATGACAGAAAATCGTGAGCATTTAATGCATGGAGATACTACTACTTACAGTAGCCAGTTGGCCTACACCACCTCCCTCCAATCTGTTGACCAAAGGTCATACTGGGCCACTCTCAATCAAAGCTCCCATCACAGCGAAATTGAGCTACAGTCTGCTTTGGTTGTTCATCCAGACAAAGATAAGAAAAGAAGAAGAAAAGATTCTTTTGGGCCTACGGAAGCCCAAGACGCTGTTATGCACCATGAGGTCAATTTGGTTTTGGATCCAAAAAAACTTGCTAGAGGCGGGTCTGCGAATGAGTCTCATCTCCTGGAACTGTCGAGGGCTTGGCAACCCTACGACGGTTCAAGTGTTAGTGGACATGGTCCACTCTAAGAGGCCAATTTTGGTTTTTCTTATGGAGACTAGAGCAAATTTACTGAAAATGAAAGTCATAAAAAATAAGTTGGGCTTTGAAGGTTTACTCACTGTAGATAGCATTGGGCGTAGTGGAGGTTTGGCCCTCCTTTGGAAGCACGGGCCGGATATTGACATTGTAAGTTATTCAGCTAATCATATTGATGCCATAGTCAGAACTGATAACTCTTCTCAACCTTGGCGCTTTACAGGATTCTATGGATGCCCGGAAAGAAATCGTAGAAGAACGTCCTGGGATCTCCTCAAAACACTCTCTTCGCAGAGCTCCCTTCCGTGGATAACAATGGGAGATTTCAATGATATTTTAGATCATAGCGAGAAGATTGGCAGAAACCTACACCCTCAGTGGCTCCTTAGGGGCTCCTCGGAGGCTGTCAAACAAGCGGGTTGAGAAATTTTGAATTTGGGGGTTTCCAATTCACATGGGAGAAGGGAAGATGGACCCCACATTGGGTACGCGAGAAGCTTGATAGAATTATGACTAACGATTCTTGGCTGGAGATATTCGGAGAGGCATCTGCGTCATCATTAGAGGCACCTTGCAGCGATCACCTTCCTCTAATCCTCTGGTCAGCACCGACTATTCGCGTCAACAGGAGAAAGCGGTTCAGGTTTGAGAATTGTTGGATCACTGAGCCTCAATGCCGTGAGATCATCAGCCGCAACTGGGTTCTATCTGAAGGGATGAATTTGAGCACAAGGTTCGACATATGTAGCAGGGCTCTTTGGAATTTGGGGAAAAATCTGAACAAGAGTCTTCAACCTAAGATTGAATTTTGGAAAAGGAGAATGGAATATCTAAGAGGAAGGTCTGATAACCAAGGAATTCTGGAATTTATTACAGCTCAAAGGAATTGCATTCAACTGATTGAGAAACACGGCACATACTGGAAGCAGAGAGCAAAAGTTTTCTGGTATAAAGGTGGGGATAACAATTCAAAGTTCTATCATAATTCTGTCTAGAAGAGGAGAAGAGACAATGCTATCACTCGTCTGCGAGACACAGCCGGCAATTGGCTCGAGCAAGGGGAAAATTTGAATAATCTGATGAGAGATTACTTCACAAATCTTTTCAAATCAACAGTCGAGGATCAAATCCCAGTCCTCCAATGTATCAATTCTAAAATATCCAACACAAAGAACAAAGCTCTCCTTCGTCGTTTCACACGGCAGGAGGTGAAGGATGCGGCTTTTGTTATGCACCCTGACAAAAGCCCAGGAATCGACGGCCTAAACCCAGGTTTCTTCCACACTTACTGGGACATCTTGGAGAGTAGCATTGTTAATTTGTGTAACAGTTTCCTGTCGACCGGCAATTTGCCGAGGGGGCTAAATACAACCCACATTGTTTTGATCCAAAAAAAGCTAAACCAGCTTCTATGGGGGATCTTCGTCCGATTGCCTTGTGTATGGTAGCTTATAAAATTCTTACAAAGGCTTTGGCTAACCGTCTGAAACCAATCTTGGAGGGAATTATTTCTGACAAGCAGAGTGTCTTCGTCCCAGGGAGATTAATAACTGACAACATCATTGTGGCTTTTGAAATGCAACATTTCTTGAAGAGGAAAACACAAGGCCGGGAGGGGTACGCTACTCTGAAACTAGACATGAGTAAAGCCTACGACTGGGTATAATGGCCTCTTTTACGTAATATTATGCTAAAGTTGGGTTTCCATAGTCATTGGGTGAACTTAGTAATGACTTGTGTTACTACCACCAGTTTTTTCATTCTTAATCAGGGAGAGGAGATTAGCCCTATCATTCCTGGTCGGGGCCTTCGTCAAGGGGACCCCCCTTCCCCCTATCTCTTTCTTCTAATTGCAGATTTCAAAGTATGAGAATGATGGAAGGCTTCACGGGATTGTAGTGGCTAGATCAGCACCAGCAGTAAGCCACTTGTTGTTCGCAGATGACAGCTACGTGTTCTTCAAGGCAAATCGGACCGAGGCAAGCAATGTAAAGGAACTTCTCTCTCTTTATGGTTTGGCTTCTGGACAATATGTTAACTTTGACAAGTCAGCTATTTGTTTCAGTGCTAATGTGTGGGAGGGAGTTATGGAATCTGTGAGTAACATTCTGGGGGTGAGAAGAGTGGAGGGAGCTGGAAACTATCTTGGGCTACCTATGATGGTAAGGAGAAATAGGAGAGAAGTAATGGGATTTATCAAAGAAAAATCACCGCCCGTATTCAAAATTGGAACCACAAATTTCTTTCTAGAGCGGGAAGGGTTGTGTTGTTAAAGAGCGTTATCCATGCTATTCCATCTTATGCTATGGGGGTGTTCCTGTTGCCAATTGGTTTATGCAAGGAGATTGAGAATGTTATGAATACTTTCTGGTGGAGAGGGAGTAGGAGGGAGAGTAAGGGTATCCATTGGAAATCTTGGGAGAAACTGTGTCATCCAAAGAGGTGGGGAGGTCTTGGATTTAGGAACCTAAGGGGCTTTAACATGGCTATGTTAACAAAGCAATCGTGGAGACTAATAAACAACCAAACCTCTCTGGCAGCAAGGATTTATAAGACAGAATACTACCCCAACTCATCTTTTTTGGAGGCCAAAGTGGGAACAAACCCCTCATTCATCTGGAGCAGTTTGACTCACACTCAAGACATTATCGGGAAGCACAGTAGATGGAGAGTGGGCAGTGGCACTCAAATCAATATATGGAAGGATGCTTGGCTCCCGGAAAAATCTAATCCCAGGGTGATCTCATTTCCTTACCCTCTTATGGAAGATGCAAAAGCTGCAGACCTTATTTTGACAGAGGAAAAAAGATGGGATGAAGACACTATCAGACTCATGTTTTCCCCTAGAGATGCCAATCTCATCTTGAGCATCCCTCTAGCCACGCAGCAGTGCCATGATAGAATCATTTGGTCTGCAGACGAAGATGGTTGCTATACTGTGAGAAGTTGCTATAAAGCGATCAGAGGTAACCTGAACGAAGCTAATACTCAACCTTGGGCAACTGCTTGGAACCTAAAAATTCCTCCAAAAACTAAGGTTCTATTCTGGCAAGCATGCACTGACAGCCTTCCCACTAAAGACCTTCTCCGCATGAAAAAAGTGAACTGTGATGATCGATGCCCCTTATGCAATTTGTCGGCTGAATCTATCTCCCACATCTTTGTGGACTGTGATTATGCAAGATCCTGTTGGAGCTTCTCTGGTCTTAATCTGAGCAACCTAATGGACCTATCCTTCTCGACATGGGTGAACCATAGCATTGCCAAGCTTGATAAAGGGAGTTTGGCTCTGCTAGTGCTTATCTGTGGGAAATTTGGAAACAAAGAAATGGGAGAGTTTCGAACAACTCAACTATCATGCATGCGCATCAACTGGTAAGGAAAGCTAAGGAGTTCCTAATTGTTTGGAGAGATATTACGGCTATACAGCCCCTTCATCTATTGGCGGATCTACTCCAATTCAAAAGTGGACAAAACCTCAGCGGGGCATGTTGAAGATGAATGTCGATGCAGCAATTAACTCTATTGATGCTGCAATGGGACTTAGAAGTGTCATTAGGGATGAAGAGGGGAATTTCTACGCAGCAAGGGGAGTTCATTAGAGGGATACTTTCACGCCTAAAGAACCAGAAGCAGTTGCTATTCGAGAAGCTTTAAGTTGGCTAAAGTCTCACAATATTGATAATGTGCAGGTTGAATCCGACTCCTTGCAAGTTGTCCAGAGTATTAATTCGAGGGGCGAAACTTCATCTTTCCACCTGATGATTATTGAGGATATTAAACACCTTCTACAGGATTTTCTGTAATGTGTTCATTTCGTTTACCAAGAGATCAGCGAACCAGGCAGCTCATGTGTTAGCTAAGCAGTCTAGTTCTTTGTCTGATTGTTCGGAGTGGGTTTTCAATCCTCCTTCTATCATTTGTAATGTATTGGTTTCCGATTTAAGTTGATGAAAGTTTATCTTGTTTTCAAAAATATATATATATATATATATATTTGATACGCGATGCCTTTAAAAAGAGAAGAGAAGAAAAGTAGTCCGTATCATTTTATAGATACCAAAAGAAACTTGTACATGCAAATGGCCTCAATTATGTGGCACGTGCGTGCCTTCTTTGGGGGCATGGGTAGTTTGAATGACAAGGGAACGTTATCTGTAAGCATGTGCAAGGTAGGCACGGTTCCATATTCATAATTTCTATACTGTAGATTCACAATTTTTATACTATAGATTTATAATTTCTATACTGTAGATCCATAAAATTTATACTTTAGATTCATAATTTCTAAACTGTAAATTCATAATTTAAATACAGTAGATTCATAATTTATATACAGTATATTCATAATTTCTAAATTATAGATTCATAATTTAAATACAATAGATTCATAATTTCTATACAGTATATTCATAATTTCTATACTGCAGATTCATAATATCTGTACTGTAGATTCATAATTTCTATACTATAAATTCATAATTTCTGTACTGTAAATTCATAATTTCTAAATTGTATAATTATCAAATTATGAACATATAGTTCTTTGATTTGTGAAAACAGAGTTCAACAATTGGAATCTAAAGTATAAATTTTATGAATCTACAGTATAGAAATTATGGATCTACAATATAGAAATTATGAATCTACAGTATATAAATTATGGATATGGAACCGTGCTCACGGCATAAATTGCAAGGTGGGCACGTGCTCACGGCATAATTTGCCGAATGACAAGTCCTACCCAGATTCAGGGCATGAAATCCCAGAAAAAAGAAGGGATAAACAAGCATTCAAAAATTGAGAAATAAGTATCATATAGAGTTCTACTACATGTATTTTTAAATCTTTACTTCCTCAAATTTATTCCCGGAGGCTAATAGGTTATTTTCTTCTCATGTGGACCCCTGTAAAGGTGTCTACATCAAAATTTTAAGTGTGAGAATAAAAGTTGAAATTAGAGAGTGAGAATACATATTGTATTTTCCTATCATATAAAGCAAAGATGACAAGTCTCTATTCCATTTCCATTTTCCACCACTTGGTACTTTTACACTGAGGAGAAACTCAAACTCCCCCACAACTAACTTGTACTAAATCAACATTAATCAATCAATCTATACTTGTGAATTAGCACAAGGCTACTGGAACTACACAACTCCCATTACAATTTTACTGCAACAATACCTCCCTCCTTAAGTATATCAGACATGGCAAACACACCATAATTGCACATATAACTTACTCTGCTCACACCCATCCACCGCACATCAAAGAGAAGCTGAAACCAGAAAAGTACGTATTCTTTGTAGCAGCTCAGCTTTAACAGAATCTGGAATTGACGCTGCAACATTTATTAAAAACGAGGAGGATATTAAATAATATATATTTCTAAACCATCTGAAAATGACTAATACACCAACCAAAAGCATTCGTCTATATAAAAATTGAAAAAACACATGTGCATATTTCAACTGCAATTTTACAATATCAAAAAGGAGCTCTCCCTTTGGAACCGGCAGTCCGGCACTCCCCCACTCAGGAAATAAATTCTAAATCTTGTTAACCATCTCTTTATTTCTTCTTGCTTTTTGTTATCTAAATACAATTCTCAAATTGTTGGTGTAAACTCCAATTGATATAAAGTTGTTTTTATTTTGTACTACCTAATCAATCAATAAGATTTTGCTTTTTCTATTGAGCACAATTGTAGCGAGCTTCAGATTACAATGTGCTTAGAGTATCAAAATCACTAACTTCTTAACCTGGGTAGTTAGTTTAGGCATTGAAGGATCAAAAACTCATTTTCTAATTCTAGACAAAAATGAAAATTATAATGAAGTCAACAAAAAAGAGAGAACCAATAGCATCAGCAAAAAAAAATGATAAAGGCAGCTAAATACTTGAGATTATACTTAGCACTTTGTGGAAGGTAAACGGGTATACTAACCTCTGCCTTTTGGGGTAATCACTTGTATTAGGTCATCAAGAGTGGCATTGTTTCGCCCTTTCTTCTTTATAAAGGCTCTAAAGATACATTCAACGAGAGAAATTCAGATATATGAAAGATGCAAATTTACAGAACGTAGATGGTAAAGATTTAAGCTTTTCTAAACACGTACAAATTAACATCAGGATGCAAGAATGTGAAGTTGAGGTCATATAGGACTATAACCTATAGGTATCCACAATCAAAAAGTTCCTTCCTCATTTGCACCAATAAATGATAAGAGTAGGAAATCTAAAACTAGAAAGGATACATGTCCGTATCCTACTCATGACACCTAATGTCTACTACAAATTGCAAAGAGAACTTTGTTGAAAGTTGAAACCTAATTTTGACATCACAAAATACATCACGCTAGTCTTTTCATTCGGATAATGAAAGTCATTTATGTACCCACCAAAGTAAAAAGGTCAGCACTGCTTATATATAACGCTGTTAACACAAAAATAGACTTTTTGAGTTTTTTTTTTTTTTTTGGATGACGAGGGAAACTCGCAGCCACCACCCGGAGGTGTGCACTAACTGCACTGAGTTAACCCTGCCTTGTGATCTTAGACGGCAAAAGACAAGATTGCCCATAACTGACTTACTCAAACCAAGAAGGCCAATAGGCCCTTGGAATTTTGTGGTTACCAAGCCAACTAGGCTGGGCTGGGGTTGCCCTGACTGAGTTTTTGAGTTGTTGTTATGGCATGAAGATGAGAAAGGTGCAAATGAGCATTGTAGCAGTGTAATAGAATGAACCCGAAAAATCCTATTAACAATAACCTGAAAATCACCTAGCTGATACTCTAATCAGTATAGTATATGAATTAGAAGCTGAAAGATTGATAAACATGGAAAGACAAAGTGCAAAGTCGCAAAATTGAAATACAGTGGTGTGGCAACTAATCATAAACAAGTAGTGGTAATTAGGAGTTAGGAGAGTGAGTACCTACAAAGCGCGAGCATTTCATCCTTCCACCCACATTCAATTAGCCTCTCCCTCAGCAGCTCCATCAAGCGTTCCTTTTCCCCACTCTCAATCAACTAAGGAAGATGAAGAAATTATTAATTCAATTTTTTATTTTTTTTATTGAAGAGCAGAACAGATTAACAGAAGAGAAGAAGTTGAATTAGTGTGTGAAATTAGACCTTGATGTTGATGATTTCTTGAAACGAAGGCTGCTTTTCTTCATCATCTCCCACATCGGGTGTGGGTGGACGATTCACCGAATGTCTCCTTCACAATCACCGAATGTCAAAATTAACACAGGAAAATAATAATACACATAAGAGAGAGAGCGAGAGAGAGAGAGGGAGTACATGTTATACTGTATGAGGTCGCGGGAGTAGACAGACTAGAATCAGATCGGTGTGCAAATTCTGTCGTCCGAGGTACTGGTAGAGTGAAATTAAGGTTTATAAAGAGCGTTTCTTTATTATTGGGATCTCCGTATACAGGACAGGAGTTTAGGGTTTCCAAAATGCTCCCTCCGCCTTCGATTTCTTCCCCAAATGGCTCAATCGCAAATCGCACCCCTCCCTGTCCCTGTAAGCCAACTAGTACAGATAATGCTTCTTTCTATAGTCCAATCTTGTCTTAGACAAATACTACAAGTCCACCTCTAATGTTGCTTACTTTCTTTTTTCCCCATCATCAACAAAATGAAAAATAAAATAAATTTATCATTGTAAAGGGACACACATTTGTTTGTCGCTCTCTTCTTATCCCAAAAGGTAACACTTGTGTGAAACCGTCTCACTCGTCCTTGAGACGAATCGGATCTTGATTAATAGATCAATTTTTTTATTAATGGGTCAGGACAAAGATTTATGTGAGACCGTCGGCAATTTATATCGTGCACCAGGGTGTGCATTGCATTGTGCGCCCTGATGCAAAACGACGTCGTTCACATAACTGTATAAAAAAATACACATAATTGTATAAATAAATACACATAGTTGTATAAATAAACACACATAAGTGCATAAAAAATACACATAATTGTATAAACAAATACACATAATTGTATAAACAAATACACATAATTGTATAAACAAATACACATAATCACGTCAACTCCCTACCGCGTCTCCCTAAACGACGTCATTTTGGGAGGCGCGGGGTGCACGGTGCTATGTGCGTCGTGGTGCAGGGTATAACGATTGGAGACCGTCATCTTTGATTAATGAAGTCAAAGATTCGATTCATTAATAAAAAAAAAAAAAAAATTGACCCATTAATTAAAGATCCGACTCGTCCCACGGATTGAGACTCGTGAGACGGTTTCACACAAGTGTTACCCATAGGTAAGATATTTGACCTCATTAATCAAAGACCTTATTCGTCTCACGAATTGAGATCCGTGAGGCGGTCTAACACAAGTTTTTGCCTATCCCAAAAGGTTAAATCTTCAACTCTACAAAGCATGTGGGAGGAAATAAATCACGGTAACTCAGTGACTTAGCAGACAAGACCAAATGTCAGTGGGACATAACATAATCCCCACATTGTCATTGTCGAGTTTCAAACCTACATCTTTTCTCCCAAATAGTGCCTACTAAACTACTAAGCTAAGTCCGTGCAAACTTATTTCAGCAATTATATAGTGGACCGCGGTGCATAATGGATAATGCACCGCGATCCAAAAACGACGTCGTTTCTTTAAGTAAAGAAACGGCGCACCGTTACAGTTAACGGAGCGCGCATGTTTGGTGTATTAATTACCAACTGAAACTACAGTGTATCTAAATTGACACTACCTCATGTATTATTTTATATTATCAAATGAAACTGCAATTGAATTGAAATGTGATACGGTTAATTCCCATGTGTATCTAGAATGTATGTATGAACAATGATGTACACAAGAGGAAAAATAGCTCAAGAGTTCTCTTTTATTCATAATTACTCTTTTTATGCTTGTAGATAGAGGGGAGAGAGTTTCAATGTAGAGAGAGAGAAGGCATGGTGGAAGTGAAGGGAAGAACCCCTAAAATGGAGGGTCAATGGCCTTATATAGGCCTAAGGGTTGACCCGCTAACTTTGACCTGAACCGTTTAACCCCGACTCAAACAGGAGCACGGAGCGTACGGGGAGCCTGAACCCAGGGTTTATTCCCCAGCAAGAAGCCCCCAGTCCGTGCCCTGACGATGGGTTAATGAGGAAGGGTTCGGGGCTGGAAAAGCTTACTACACGGTCTGTGACATATGACGGTTGCCTCGTTAAACAATTTTAGACTAGGAAAAACCCAGTGGGAAAAAATTCTAGTTAAGAGAAAAAGAGTACAACCATAAGCACAGTCTTTTGGACCATAAGGGGTCGAATTTTACCGATATGGAGATCGGGATGCTAGGTATGATCAGGAGGTTGGGTTAACTGCGATCGGAAGATCTAACTTTACTAATCACGGGATCGAATTTACTCGCGATCAACGGATCGAACTCTCGCGCAATAAGGAGGTCACTTCTCACCGATCTAAGGATCGGGTTACACCAATCGGGATACTGGATTTGCCTACGATCTATGGATCGAAACCGACTAATCAAGATATTGGGTTTGTAGGCAGAGACGGAGCCAGGAATTCCGTTGGGGGGGGGGGGGGGGGGGGGGCGAAGAAGCAGGGACGGATCCAGAAATTTTTTCTAGTGAAGGCGAAATGTTAAAACAAAAGAGATAATTTGAAAAAAAATATCTAAGAATTATAGATATAAATATTGTTAGATATGAGCAAAAATAAAACCCATCGAAACTTTATAAAAATATTCATAACAAAATATGAAACATAATTAATTTGATAAAATAATTTGAATAAAAAATACATTATAAATTACACATATCATTATTAATATATAAAAAATGTTATATATGCGTGTGTGTTAAATATTAGCCAAAAAAAAAACTGTGAAAATATTTTTATGCCAAAATTTGAACCCATGACCTTCATTATAACCAAACACATGCTTTACCAACTAATCTAACTCACTTCTTGTTAATATTTATCTGTTTTTTATACTAATACTAAAACTTGTACTATATATACATATATACATACAAAGGTTATATATGGGGCGAGGGTGGGGTGAGGGAGGGCAGCTGCCCCCCTGCTCCATCTTTATTTGTAGGGAGACCTAATGATTAAGTCTTACCAGTCAAGAGAGTGGTTTTATTCATGGTCCAGGGACCTCAACTAATCGTGCTCATCACAAGCGGGAACGCTTTCTCCCATGCCCTTCACTCGGGCCAACTGGTCGCAACCGGTTTGAGATCGGTCAAACCCCGACTCGAATTATCTGACTAAAAGATCGTTCTTAGCCGATCGCGTTTGGTTGGCTTTGATTACCGCGTTAATGACTCACAACTTGCTTTTTAGAAACCAAAAATTGCTCGATCGGGGCAATTTTCCCCCCTTTTTCACTCGGTTAACGAATCAAAAGTCCCAAACAAAGGGACACATGGAGACCCGATGGTCTAACGATAGAGAGATGCGCTCGGTTTACGAATCGAAAGTCCCAGGCAAAGGGATACTATGAGACCCGATAGTTTAACTATAGCGAGATCGGGAAGGTCGTTCTACTCATGAAGCGATTATGAGACCGGGAATGTCGATCTACTCGTGAAGCGATTACGAGACCGAGAACTCGGGAAGGTCGATCTACTCGTGAAGCGATTTACGAGACCGGGAAGGTCGCTTTACTCAGGGAGCGCTTTGGTGTTATGAAACCCGCTAGGAGACCCGAAGGTCTAACGATAATGAGATCGGGAAGGTCATTTTGATTGGGAAGTGACGACGAGACCGGGAAAGTCGGTCTACTCAAGAAGTGCTTTGGTGAACGAGATAAGTCGGTCTACTTGGGAAGCACTTTGGCTACTCGGGAAATACTTTAGCGAAGCGACTACTCTGCCGATCTACTCGGGAAATGCTTTAGCGAAACGAACAATGACCGAACGAGCTAATCTACTCGGGAAATGCTTTAGCGAAACGAACGATGAGCGAACGAGCTACTACCGGTGTAGCCCCCCACTCCCTTAGTTGCGAGAATCGTCACATAAGGGAGTAGATGCGATAGTTTCCCAAGTTTGCTTTGCAACTTTAATTGCGATCGGGAAATGACCCAACTAATCTCATGATGCCGATGCATCAAACCACACTCATAACGTCGATGATCGGGAAGTGACCCGATCGGTTTCATAGTGCCGGTGTACCACTGGTCGATTTGCTTAACTTGTAGGACTTTTGGAACTCTACGAGATCTAAACTTACCGATCAGGGGATCAGACCTCTAACACGGTGGGGGATTTGCAAGCTACTGATCAAGTGATCGAATTTTTAGCACGATCAAGTGATCAACCTTTACCAATCAAGAGATTGGTTTTACTCGGGGCATAAGTCCGACCTTGCGGGCTCGATTGCCTACCTAGTAGGGCTCAAGGCCGAGATATAATCTCGGGCTAACTGGGCCGGTGGTGGCAATACCGACCTAACCGGACTTAACTACTCAATCTAACCAGACTTATCACACGACTGGAACTGGAGGACCTTTGTCCTTTTTGGTACAAGACCGAAATTGAAGGAACCCCGTCATCTTCGGTCTTGGACTGGAACTATAGGAACCTCGTCCTCTTCGGTATGGAACCGGAACTATAGGAACCTCGTCCTCTCTTCGGTATGGAACTGGAACTATAGGAACCTCGTCCTCTCTTCCGTATGGAATCGGAACTATAGGAACCTCGTCCCCTCTTCGGTATGGAACCGAAACTATAGAAGCCTCGTCCTCTCTTCGGTATGGAACCGGAATTATAGTTTACGCGACATTGCGGTTGATAGGTCGGACTATTGTCCTCACGGGTCCGGAGACCAAATTGCCTACTTTGTAGGGCTTGATGCAGAGACTTTTCTCAGGCTTACTAATGTCAGTGGTGGCAGGGCCAACCTAACCGGGCTTACGATGTCGGTGGTGGAAATACCAACCTAACCGGACTTATCTACACACATACGTACATTTATATTATGACTATTCTAAATACAAAGCTATGGCTAAATGATTCATCGCTGAAAAGCGGCATCGCTAGAAGGCGGGATAAATACTTCGCTGAGAAGCGGCATCGCTGAAAAACGGGATATATTCAACGCTGAAAAGCGACAATGGTTCATCGCTAAAAAGCTGCATCGTTGAAAAGCGGGAATGATTCATTGCTGAAAAGCAGAATAAATACATCGCTAAAAAGCGGGATAAATCTGATCTCGGACTTATAGCGTCGATGGTGGTAATACCACGCAACCGGGCAAATAAACGGGCACCTTGCTCACGTAATGGGCAATGTACACCCACAAATCAAAACGGTTCGAGGGCCGTAAAGGGGCATGCTTCTCCCATAGTGGGCACGCTACTCACACAAATCAAAACGGTTCGAGAACCGTAAACGGGCATGTTTCTCCTACAGATCGGTACGAGGACCGTAAACGGGCACGCTACTCCCGCAGCCGATTTTTAACCGAGCAAAATTTCCTGCTACAATGTAAGACTTATGCCAAGATTTAATCCCGGACTTACAATACCGGTGGTGGATGGACTGG